ATTCTTCCCACATCCCTCATCTTAACAGTGAACAAATATTTTTCAACTAGTGTGCAAGAAAAGCACAATTCCTAGTGTGGCATATCCAATAACTGACTTTGAGCCCCTGACTGACTGATTAACCATATGGAAATTTGACTACCCACAAGAAGTGCCCTAATAAGTAAATATTGAACAAATTGTTCTTGCATATTATTTTAACTACAAAAACAGAAATCACTTACAGCAATTATAGTATTATTTTGCTAAATGAAGAGCATTGAGGGGTGGTTTTAGGAGCATGTGAAGGCAGAAAACATAAAAACATCAAGGTCAAAAACTCTAGCCCTGAGTACCAAACATGCTTGTTTTAAGATACTACAAAACCTTGAGAAAATATTTGAAGTTAATTTTACTTCTTTTTCATTGGAGATCCAGCTATTAATTGTTCTGTAATCACCTTATGATGGGAAAAGATTCTTGTGGGATTGATATCATTAAATGGTTTTGTGTTGCAGGGTATGTTGTTCAAGGATCCAATGGTGAATATGCATATATGAGAGCTGAAGAAAAGATTGATTTAGTTCATAAAGTGAGAGAACTAGCACCCAAAGGCAAACTTATTTTGGCAGGATCAGGTTGTGAAGGTAACAGAGATAGGAAGCAAAACTTAACAATAAGACTTAAAGCAGTCAATCCTAAACTTAGCTTGTGAAAAAAAACATGTTCACTTCTGGCATCCCATAAGAAAACCTGTGCAGATAGGAAATTTTGCTAACGAGGAACCATTATCTGTGAGAACAGTTACAAAAACTGGAAAAGTAGTAAGCAAATTTCTACACTTGCAATTTGTGCTTCCTGTTATTAAATCACACTTCAGGCAGTTTTGGGAGGTTTCAGAGAGAGTGACACCTTTATGCTACATGCAAGCTCCTCTGCTTAAATTTCTGTATTGTGCTTTTGTTTTAGACAAATAAGAGACTATTGATTTTACAGTCTGCACTGAAACTCATAAAGTTTAATTATAGTTTTGATTAGTTACTCCTTCACTTGTACTGCTGGTTGGGGGTATCTCTGGTATCTCTTTGATCATTTTTGGTCTCTACGCATTTTTCCAATAAAGCTACAAGGGATACCATAGAGATGACAAATAAAATGGCTGAGGCAGGTGCTGATGCAGCACTTGTTGTGACACCTTGTTTCTATAAGAGTGGTATGACTGCAGAAGCTCTTGAGAAACACTTCACTAAGGTAAAGCATTGATATTAAAGTGAACTAAATTGTATTGACAAGAATTTTCCCAAATTATATTTCCGAGTAGAGGTGAATTCTGGCGGTTGAGCAAAGGCATCTGTTCCCATTTACAGATCTGTTGGCACAGCCAACCAGTTTTAGTTCTGGCTGCTTCCATACTTGATTATGATTAAGTTATTAATAATAACTGAAAATGGATTCTAACATGATTTTTTATATCTGATTTGAAAAAGATTATGTCAACTGCTTTTTTTTTGTCACAAGATCACTTGTAGTTCTAAAACCATTGCAAAACGATTTAATACATAAATTGATACTACTATTTAATGACAGTTCACTTAGAATTTGAATGACTTGAAAAAAGTCAGATTAAGATCTCAATAAGGGAAACTTTCCAGACTCTTTATTTTATTTCTTAATTATTGTTGAACTATCAAATGACATTACATGGACAATTTTATTTCCCAGGTCGCAGACAGTTCACCAATACCAGTTATACTGTACAGTGTGCCAGCAAACACAGGAATTGACTTACCCGCCGAATGCATTATTAAGTTATCATCTCACCCAAACATTATTGCTCTAAAGGACAGTGGAGGAGATGTATGTAAGAGCGCACTGAAATTAGGGATGAAAGAGAGTCCCTCTTTACCCCCTTTCCACCGAAAAAAAATTGTCAGGCGTCGCTGGCTAATTTAAAAACGCAACCAGAAATGGCAACTGATACAAAAATGTCCAATGAAACTGTTATTCCACAATTTAAGCTTCTTAGAAATATTTTAAAGTGCGTTTTCGCGTAATATGTTATTTGCCTTAATGCACTCGCATAGCTCCTGCTTACGTTTACTCGACTCAGCCCATTCAAATTTAAAATTTGAAATCCTTTTGGAGCAACTTCAGAATACCCGGCCACTCATTTACATGTCATTGAATAAGAATAGCGTCTATTGTGTTATGCTTCGATCTTCGAGGCTAAAACAAAATGAGTTGTCGCAATGCTCACTGTGTATTCGTTGCACGAAAAGAATGTCAGATTTTTCTAACTGAATAAGTTAAAACAAGTGGTTTAACTTTCAAACGAGTGTAAATAACTCACCTTTCAACTCTTTGACATTTGTTTGACAACATTATTTTCACAGCCTTGCTTTATAAGATCAACTTTGTGCGAAAGCACTGGCCTTTTGAGCGCGCGTAATTTCTTGGTGGGAAACTTGCACTCGTCGTGGATGGTTGCGCACGCCTGCTTTTTCCCGCCCTTTACCATTCTCTTCTTCAGAGCCCCTCACCGTCACGCAAAGTTTTAGCACAGAACAATCTCATTCAAGAGTCACGCCTGAGTCCTGCTTCCGGGCTTGTTACTAGTGATTATTTGAGTTCAAAACAAACAAAGCCAGGTTAAAGGAAAGTTAAGACTTCCTTAGTATTTGATTTAATTTTCACTGTTATGTTGCTTAATTGTTGAAATGTTTTGAAATTTCCCGATTATATGGCGGGCAGGTTGCGGAACGGAGAGGGGACTGAAATGACTTATTGTAACCTAAGTAGTGTTTACTTGACTAATATTATTTAAATTATGATTTATTTATCGTTTTATTTTTCCCTTTTTTCTTCTTCTAGATCACCAAGATTGGTTACGTGATCCACAAGACTGCTGGAAACAATTTTCAAGTATTGGCTGGATCAGCCAGCTTTCTTTTGGCTTCCTATTGTCTTGGTAAGCCAGTTCTTTTTATTAACACCAGAAAAAGAGTTGTTGTAATTCTGGGTCTGGCAGATAACTTGGCAAATGAACGAACAAGTGTGTCAAACTTGAAATGTTTTGAAAGCAAGTATTTGATAAAAGTGGCTGTGTTACCTTTGTTGGGACCCATTGGCTTGATGCGTGTTTTTGGTTTGCAACAAACGTTTTCCATATATATTTTAAGGTGCCGTTGGAGGCGTGTGTGCTCTCGCAAACGTTTTGGGAAGAGAAGTTTGCAAGCTACATGAAATGCACAAACATGGAAAAATGGAAGAAGCTAAGCTTCTGCAGCACAAATTAATTCTCCCAAACACAGCGGTATGAGCAAATATTTTGAGTACTTTTTGTTCGTATGTGTTCCTGACTCGTGTAGCTCCGTTCTGTTTACTAATCCTGTTAAGCTTCTAACTCACACGAGTGACCAAGACAAAATTCTACTGACAATATCGATACAATATCAAGCAGAAAAGTGATGTGAATAAATAATGGTAATTGAACTGAGTGGAGTGCAATTTGGGCTGAAATTATACGCGTGATTTAAATCACAAGTATGGTTTTAGACCAAAATTGCACGACACGAGGTTCCGTTACCACTTTATTACATCCATTTTGAAATTGCCCAAATACAGGACTTGGTCAATTCAAATATTTTACTGATGCAGTACTGAGCCGGTTTGAAATTAAATTCATTCATTTTTTTTT